ATGTCTTGCCTACAAGCATGGTGGTGGGAGTTTCATGGTCTGGGGCTGCATGAGTGCTGCTGCCACTGGGGAGCTACAGTTCATTGAGGGAACCATGAATGCCAACATGTACTGTGACATACTGACGCAGAGCATGATCCCCTCCCTTCAGAGACTGAGAGGCAGGGAAGTATTCCAACATGAAAACGACCCCAAACACACCTCCAAGATGACCACTGCCTTGCTAAAGACATTGAGGGTAAAGGTGATAAACTAGCCAAGCATGTCTCCAGACCTAGATCCTATTGAAAATCTGTGGGGCATCCTCAAATGGAAGGTGGAGGAGCGCAAGGTCTCTAACATCCACCAGCTCCGTGATGTCATCATGGAGGAGTGGAAGAGGACTCCAGTGACAACCTGCGAAGCTCTGGTGAACTCCATGCCCAAGAGGGTTAAGGCAGTGCTGGAAAATAATGTTGGCCACACAAAATAATGACACTTTGGGCCCAATCTTGACATTTTTACTTAGGGGTGTTCTCACTTTTGTTGCCAGTTGTTGATATGTTATTTTGAGGGGACAGCAAATTTACACTGTTATACAAGCTGTACACTCACTACTTTACATTGTAGAAAAGTGTCATTTCTTTAGTGTTGTCACATGAAAAGATATAATTAAATATTAACAAAAATGTGAGGGGTGTGTACTCACTTTTGTGAGATACGGTACATGGAACATAAAGGCGCTCAGGAGTCACCTACATGTCTGGAGAGGCAGCAGGTTCCTCTTTCTGAGACAAGAGGAGCCTGAAATAATAATGTTTCTTCGACAAGCATCTATGGGGGTTTCTGAGAAATGCTGATCTTCAGATACCTACTAATCCAGCAAGATCAGCTTAGTGCCGTCTGAGCAACTGGTTGCTTTCTCATACAGTAGGCTACAGACTTGGGAGCAATCTAATAGTCATTAATAAAAGAAACCAGGCTGTGAAAACTCCCTCTGATTAATTGGTCTGTCAATGTAGGACCAATTACTTTATCAATAAGGGCCTCAGAGGATCTGGACCATATCTAACTACCCTTTACTAAAGAGAAAAGTTAGACATCAGCAAAAGGGATTTTACACTTTCTGGAAATCCCCAATATGTTCTTATTAATGGCTTAAAATTTATCTATAAAGCATGAGTAACCATTAATACAGCCATTAGTTACACAACTTATAAACACTTAGCTTATTAGAAAGTGTGGTACAGAGTTGGTTCACCAAAATGACCAAAAAAACAAATCCACCTCCAGGGCAGGAGCTGATATGCACAACAATGCAAGTCATGTTGTTTGTCATGGTCTTGGAATTTGGGGTTTTAGCAACCTGTAAGGAACCATACTGTACAAATTCTAAAAAGGCAGAGCTTTTAAAGGTTCAACATACATTTAAGTTCGACCACTTTTCAGCCAACAAAAAATGCATGAAGTGTTCATTTCATCCACACTTGAGTTTAATCCAACAAAAACAATTGTATAATTCAAATGAAAAAAGATTCAGTATTTATATATCCCCATTTACTCCTATTAGAGTGGGATATATTTCATTTACTTACATTCTCGGTGTCTGGTGAAAAGACCCTAAATCATTCTGGCCTGGGGGGGCATTGGGAGGATTTGGTCTTGTGACCTCAGTATTTCTAAAATCCTGGCTGCAGCTCTGCTTATGTCTAGTGGTCTCTGGTCTCTAGCCATGCCTACACAGGGATTTCTTTGGTTGAAAGTAGGCTAATTCCATTGAAAACTGTTCGCAGCGAGGTCTGTGGAATGTTATGTGGAGGGTAAATGCAGATGCGTTGCTGCTGAATTTAAACAAAAAATGTCATTGTCAGTGCTGCGAGCATCTCAAATTAAATTCCATTCACCTTCATTGTACTGCCGTGTGGGCAGACATCTAAAATTCTAGACAAATAAAACCAAAACGAACCGCCAAACACATAACACAAGAGGTAAGTTATAAAAATATTTTTCTTGCACTTCAGGTGGACTGACCCTTTAGGGTGATGGATTTGAAGTAGAACAAATGTATTTGAAGCTATTATCTCAGAAACATTGCCCTCAAACCCTTGAAACACTTGCAACTTTGCTAGCTTATTGATGTCTCTTAGAGGCTGCATTTAAAGCGTTTGTACCTCTTTGCTGTAATTCAACTTTCCATTTTTTGTGCAGTCACTCCCTCACTTTGACAAAAATAAGCTGAGCAAAGTGCTCTCGATCACTGAACAGCAGCTACCTCCTACATGTCTTCATGCCAGTTTAAAGGGAAGTAGAGCAGGCTCAACTTGACGCAGCCGCTTGATCTCTTTTGTCAACACAGCCATTGAGTCAAAGGTCAAAGTTGAGCTTTTGAAGTGATGACCTGTTTGTATTTTGGGCTCGAGCTCAGAGGTGAGACAGGAGGTCAGCGGCAGAAGCAGACAAACGGGTATGGTGTGTTCAGGTGAATTCAGCTTTAAACCTCCCTTTCCTGCTTTTTGAGTTAGCATTCTTCCTGTGTTGCCACACAGGCTGGATATGTTGTGTTATTTTATCTCTCGCACAGATATGATCTTAATGGAGCACACTGAGCCAGAATGAAGAGTGGGTAAATGTTTCTGCAATTAAAACCGTGTAAAAACTCTTGATTTTCCACTTCACTAAACCTCCATATGGTTTTTACGTTTTAACCAATTACTCTGCCAATAGCTTTTGCTAGCTCCAGTCACAACTTAATCAGTCATCTTATTTTTAAGTCATTTTTCATGAGCAATTTATTTCAAGAGGTCACTAACAATTAACCAGTGTCAGCTTCATGCATCATATGAGTGTCATAAGAGGGGTTACAAGCCCTTGAGAGGGTTTTAAAAAGCCTTTTCTGTGCTGCTGAAAAGAGCTGTGTGCTCTTATCTGATCATTCAGATACAGAATCATCATTGCTTACTTGAGTAATAAATTATTATTCATTTTAATCTGTTATATTACCACAAAGCCATCACTGGCAGCAAACAGAGGGTGGCACTGCCAAGCTGGCGATGACATGCCTGACCTATGAAGGCCTTTAGTATTTTATCCAAGCAAACGTCTTTTTGCTCCCTGGTGGTGTTTCTAGTGTGGCATGGTTTAATTAAGCGTGTGTTCGTGTGTGTGTGAGAGAGTGGCCTCTGACAGCGAAGACAGCAGCCAGAATCACACGGGGTTAATGATGCTGTCAGAACGATGGCAAGGGGAGGAGCTGGGGGGGGGGGGCAGAGGGATAAAACAGCGAGCAAATATAGCCTACAAAGTAGCAGCTCTTCTGTTTATGCTACAATTTATGACTGTACGGATAGGAAATGAAAGTCCCAAAAAGTTCTATAGTAACTCCCCCGGTTGACAATGGCTGTTTACGATGGTTTGGCCTCAATGTTTATTCAGGTCACTCTGCTGTCTCATGGCATTTATGTAACCTAATGTCTTCTGCTTTCTATACATATTGTGGTCCTGCAGTATCATGTGGTATGTATAAAGAATGTACAAAAAAAATTATTGAACAAAAATGTAAAACATGCACATGTTCACATTAATTGTCAACAAATCTTATGAAAAGTAAAAAAACAAACGAGTTGCATCTGTTTATGGAACAGTGACAACTTACTCCTGTTTGAGTAACTACAGCTGTTTAAGAAAATAATTTAGTCTGTTTTTTTTTTTTAAATGAAACTATATATTTCTGACATGTTTTTAAAGGGTGGGTCAAGTCAGACCAGAAAAACAAGTTTAATCTTTGGTTTGTTGACAGTCAAAGTAAATATAGAACAGCACCAGCCTTACCTTTGAAGTCCACTGTTGTCTATCATCTCAGGTGTATTTACTTATAATTGAGGAATTTCTCTGGTGTGTATCTGGCATGTTTCATGTGCTGACAAAGGGTCTGCTTCACCAAAACCTTAGACATTAAATTACTGTGTGCTCTCTGGAAAAATTTGAATAACCACTACTTAAAAACACCTGTCTGACCCAACGTTCCTACAGGCTATAATGTTTATGATACCTCACAATCTGAACGTTTTATGTGATAAAAACATCATTGTCTAGTGGAATGTAACTATGTACATTTACTCAGGTACTATACTTAAGTACAAATATGTGGTACTTGTATTTTACTTGAGTGTTTCCATTTTATGCTTCTTTATACTTTTTCTTCACTATATCCTCAGAGGCAAATATTGTACTTTTTACTTCCCTACATTTGTCTGACGGCTTTAGTTGCTTTTCAGCTTACAATGTTTCATCCCATTCCAGTCAAGTGAAAACACATGTATTTCTAAATTTGGTGTATTTGAACTTTTCTGATGAACTGAAGGATTAAATGTTTCTATTTCTTAAGCTAAATAAACTATTTAAAATGCCACTGAAAAAATGCATCATCATGACTTTTTTCTAATCTCATGAAAAAGTGACTAGTTAAGAGATATGTCGTACTCATAGGACAGCTGATAATACTTACATAACTTTACTGGTGGAATTGCTATTTTTACTTATCTGAGTATCTCTTCCACCACTTAAGAGTATTTATGACAAATATTACTCTTAGCAGACTGAGAAACCCACGCGAGTCAGATTTTCTTTACACAATTGTAAACATACAGACTTGCTTCTATGAGGCTATTGTGTATGACTTTTTTATGACAAAAAACTAAGCTAGAATGGTCATTACTTTAATACTGATGTGCAAAAATTAGGGCTTATGGTAAAAGTGCTGCAATAAATGAGAGGTATTTACTGCGTGTTATGAACAGGAGCTCTGACCTCTGAGGTCACCTCAAAGATAACCTGGTATTGCAACACATTTATGAGGGAGCTAGCTGAAGCATTTGATAATATCTCACATAGCAGAGCTGAAGTCTTTCAATTTATTAATGTAGTAAGTGTAGTTATGCTATAGATTTTTCAAATCTGGAAATATAGAAAAGGGAATACGAAGCAATGAAACATAACCTTCAGAGCAAACACACAAACCAGACTAGATAAAGCAAATGTTTTATTAGTCCCTCTTGCTCTGTTGCATCTTAAAGTGCAGCAATAAGAAGCAGACGTATTAACAAGGCCCCCCCCCTGAAGAAAAAAAGCATGCCAAAATGTGCCTGAAAAGGTGGTACCGTGAGAAGAAATCAAGTGAGAGCTGGCAAACAATATTGGGAACTTAATGCCCAAAGGCAGCCACTCAAGCTCATTACCGTTCATTAGAAAAATGCCAGAGGGATAACAGGGCTGGGAAAACACACCGGCAAAACCTTTGCAGCTCATTTGAAATGAATAACTTTTGGGAATAAAACATTTCTCCCATTACAGAAATATACTGTTATATTGCTTTTGATACAGTTAAAGTGTCATCGATACAGTAACACCTGTCTTCAAGGCACTTGGGCCGAGTGATCCAAACCAAATAAAAAGCAGTCGTACATTCACAATTATGTTGGGAGATATGATGGCGATGACAACCAAAACACTCTCAGGCCCATGTCTGACAGCTGTAATAAGGGAAAATGACAACAACAATGTCCACATTATCATATTATATTACACAAGTATTACAGTAATGCATTATTAGAGCATCTCTTCATCTAGAGACAAAGCGTGTAAATGCTTGGTAGGGAGATTTTAATAAGACTTTGTTTTCTTAACACAATGTCCCTCACAGCGCACAAGCAGCAGTCAGTCGGTGTCATCAGTTAACACGAGGTTGCTTATCAACAACAGGCACTTTATTCACTCCTTAGATTAAAGCAATATTTCATGGTCTAAATCAAAAGGGCTCCTTGTGTCATGAATAATCATAATAGAAGTATAATCAGTCATACAGGGAGCAGAGACACAGAGAAAGGCTTTAAGCTATTAAGCATAGCCTTTTCGAGACTGTAAACAACTTAAAACTACTCGGCCTGTGGTGACACACATGCAGACAAATATTTATGAAAGCTTGATTAGTGTACCTGAAGGCACCATCCATGCTGACTGTACACTAAAGCAACCACACACACGGAAATATATTATTTTTTTTAAAGTACAAAGGTGTGAATTAATACTCTGTAGCTGGACATTTCTAATATATGAATGCTAATAAAAATGTGTCTGCATAATTCATATCAACCTCTCAAATGTTTTATTCCTGTCATTTTCCACCTACTTCTTCTCTCCCTAGACTGAAATTAAAGGAACGCGTTGAGACTTTTTTTATCCTAATAATCACCATGAAAGGATTTCAATATCATATTTTTGAGAATCTGGCAGTAACTCGATATTAGCATTCAAAAGTGACGCTTGTGCAAGTGAAGGCAGAATAAAACGTCTTTGTCGGAGTCTAAACCACATATCAGCTCCATTAAACTTTTCTCTCTCTCTTTTTCATGTCTACTGTGTAAATTTCTCATGGGAGTGAACGAAAAAGCTGCCTTAATTTTAGTGAGAAGAGCAGAAGGCTTCTAATTTTTCAAAATCAGAAATCTGTCCATCACCAGCACCATCATCACCACCTGCCAATTTCTCATTAAATCCACAGTATATCTTTTATTTTCTGCATTAATTTAGTCCTGCAACACTATTTTGTAAATGAGAAGGTAACTTTGAGCGGAAAAAATGGTTTTCTTACAGTCAGTACAGCCTGTCCTTAACAGCAATCTGTTGCTATATACTTATATACTATATATATCATATTGATTTTTAGGCTGCAGTTGTGTTTTCTGTACAGCCTTTATAAGATGCCTGGGGATGTAACTATTTGCATTCCTAACTGTCACACACAGTCAAGAACATTACAGCCCTGATGCATTATGTTTTGTTGAGGGGGCTTCTGAGTAGTTTGAAATGAAATTCCCCTGAAAATCCGATTTGTATGAATTGCATTTTTTTTGTCTAAAGTGACAGTCAAAAACAATCCATGTTTTCTTTCTTCATCCAGAACTTAAGACAGGTAAGGGGTATTAGAAGGCATGAGCCAATGCAACAGTGACCTCTTCCTCACCAGGACTGGCACTTATTTGAAGAGGCTGGGTGAAGGAGACTGCTTTCATCATACAGGCTTTACCTGTTTCCAGACAATAGTACACCCATACACCCAAGGTGAGGCCTGGGTTGCTGTTTAAGTCCTTTATAACAGCTGGAAGTTTGGTTGAAATGGAGAGTGGCTTTGACAGATCCACGATATCACCAGTAACCACCGGACTTTCCAGCAGCCACTCGTTACCTGTAAAAACAGGAAACAGAATTTTGTAGTCCTAACGCTATCAAACAGACAAAACCAGTAGTCTTATACAATCTGGCTAATAAAGTAACAGATATAGTCTTTGCCCACAACTACAGCTAAATAATGCTAATGCTCTTGTAATGATGTGATTCACAAAGCACGTTAGCATGCCTGCTATTTAGCACAAAACTTTAGCAAAAGTAGATGAAAGTGATGGGAATGTCATTAGTTTTGCAGGAATTTGGTCCTAAACGAAAGTATTGGACAAAGTCAAATGTCAGCCTTCTGGTGGCGCTAGATGAAAAGTCACCAAAGTCATTAGGACGGGACTCTCTGGGGATGAAGACTGCCTGTAAAAAATCCAAATCCATCCAAATGTTGACGACCGATTGACTGACCTACCGACCGACGGATGTTGTCCTCCCCAGAGACACAGTACTAGCATGGCTAAAAAGAAAATCTGTCCTCAGCATGGACTCAGATCAGTCATAATATGCCATGTTTGGAAAGGGCAGATGTGTCTGTATGAAAATGTCTTTCAGGCATCTAAATTTATGTACAAGTGTGTAAGTGCACCCTGAGTCTGAGTGTTACAAAGCACTGCTAAATGGAGTCCTTTGCAATATAAAGCCAAATGAACCAGAAGGCGTGAGGGTGAGGACATGATTTTAGTGAAACACAAGGGATATTTTTAGAAACAACTACACATCTAAAGAAAAGGCCAGAACTTCAAGTGTGAGAAAATATTATGCCAGAGAGACCATCAAATCCACACCAGTGGTGATGAACGAAGCGGATGGTGATGAGGTCCCAGGGAAGCCATTTCTAAAAAGCCACTAAAAACAATTTAAATCTGCCGTACACTTCTAACATGATCCATTAAAATTCCTGCCTCTGCCCTGATCCGATCAGCACAAGTCTAGACTGGGTATAATCGGACAGCGGAGGATCACGTAACATAGCCCGGTAGCTAATTATGTGAACCAAGGCATGTCGTCTTATCGAAAGGTTCTAAAAATAGCCTGCTGATATCTCTGACTGCAAGCTGCATCGCTCAGAATGATGGAAACACTTTTGTTTCAAACGTAATGAATGGACCATCAGCCACATGATATCTCAAATCACTTCACACTTTATCCTAGGGTCAGACTACTGTTGATTACAATTTGAGAACAGTGAACACAGCATTTTGAATAGTATTAAGCTGTTAAAATCATACAGTGGGTACGGAAAGCATTCATCTTTCCCTCGATTGCAACCAGTCGTCCTGTCCCTGCAGCTGAAAAACACCCCCACAGCATGATGCTGCCACCACCATGCTTCACTGTTGAGACTGTATTGGACAGGTGATGAGCAGTGCCTGGTTTTCTCCACACATACCGCTTAGAATTAAGGCCAAAAAGTTCTATCTTGGTCTCATCAGACCAGAGGATCTTATTTATCACCATCTTGGAGTCCTTCAGGTGTTTTTTAGCAAACTCCTTGCGGGCTTTCATGTGTCTTGCACTGAGGAGAGGCTTCCGTCGGGCCACTCTGCCATAAAGCCCCGACTGGTGGATTGCTGCAGTGATGGTTGACTTACTACAACTTTCTCCCATCTCCCGACTGCATCTCTGGAGCTCAGCCACAGTGACCTTTGGGTTCTTCTTTACCTCTCTCACCAAGGCTCTTCTCCCCCGATAGCTCAGTTTGGCCGGACGGCCAGCTCTAGGAAGGGTTCTGGTCGTCCCAAACGTCTTCCATTTGAGGATTATGGAGGCCACTGTGCTCTTAGGAACCTTAAGTGCAGCAGAAATTTTTTTGTAACCTTGGCCAGATCTGTGCCTTGCCACAATTCTGTCTCTGAGCTCTTCAGGCAGTTCCTTTGACCTCATGATTCTCATTTGCTCTGACATGCACTGTGAGCTGTAAGGTCTTATATAGACAGGTGTGTGGCTTTCCTAATCAAGTCCAATCAGTATAATCAAACACAGATAGACTCAAATGAAGGTGTAGAACCATCTCAAGGATGATCAGAAGAAATAGACAGCACCTGAGTTAAATATGAGTGTCACGGCAAAGGGTCTGAATACTTATGACCATGTGATATTTCAGTTTTTCTTTAACAAATTTGCAAAAATTTCTACATTTCTGTTTTTTTCTGTCAAGATGGGGTGCTGAGTGTACATTACTGAGAAATAAAATGAACTTTTTTGATTTTTGGAAAATGGCTGCAATGAAACAAAGAGTGAAAAATTTAAAGGGGTCTGAATACTTTCCGTACCCACTGTATATTAAATTTGTGAATTGGTGCTTTAAAAAAAACAGTCCCTAACTGAGAATTATTACTCCCTGGCATGGTTCGGCAGTGAGAATCTGCTTGCTGTAAGAATGAAGGTTAAGCATCATTCACTTCCATTATTTTTTGACAGACTCATGGATCACATACCAATAAAGGAGGAAAGGCTGAGAGGCTCACATCCAGAGTCATTATAAATGTAGAGAACAAGTTTGGATTGCAACCCTGACAAGTAAAAAAAATAAGCTTTACTTTTAAAACCTATTGAAAACAATAGCAGGGCCTGTCCTAAATATGAATTGTTATTATTATATATCTGTCAAGTTTGTCATATACTGTTGTCTTTTCAGAACTGACTGTTCACTAAACCCCTCCCCCGAACAGCCATAGTCCAGTCATAGCTTAGCAAGCTTAACAAGGCACAGCAGCTCAGTCAGACTTTTGGTTTTCCAATATGTAGTATGATGTGTCATGTATGCAAAGAGTTTGCTTTTATGTTTTTTTCCCCTTTGCCTTTACAAAACCAAAAACTCAAGTGTAGGTAATGGATTAATTGGTGTGTTTGCCTGCTTTATTATAAACTGCCAACTTTAGCATGACCAGCTAACTAGCTGACTACATACTGTAGTAATGCTAAAGTAGCCTTAACTTAGTTAACTGAAATTATTTAATATTTTCTTTTTTGTACCATTCTGTCTGTAATACTGGTACTAAGCTTTGCAGGGCAATACAAAACCAATGGCGTTCCTTCATTTCCATGTACACAGATAACCTCCACGTTTTAGCATGATGTCATGTATGTAGTCCTGGTAGTTTTCAACCAACTCATGAAGCTTAGGCTTTTTAGCAAGCTAAGTTAGCCAGCTACTATAAAATATGCTAGCAACACCTGTGGTTTCAGTGTGAAAGACCCATTGTTTCAAAAACAATAATTTCATGTGTTAAATCTGCTACTGTTATCACTATAAACAACGTGTGTGCCATGCAAGAACAGAAAACTTTACAGGCGTAGCAATGAGTCTGAAGTCAAATGTACTAAATCTGAATAAAACATTTTTCACAACAATCATTGAACTTTGTCTCACCCTCAGCTGAGAGAGCCCAGCAGCTAGGGGCCTCTTCAGTGAGTTTGCTTCCTTCTGGAAGCGACAGGGTGAGTGACATGACGAGAGTCTGGCCTGCCGACACCGCCACTGGTAGCATTTCTTTCCTGGCAGCTGATTTAGGCAGTGTGGGGGCTTTGGCAGGACCCGAGGGCTTTGAAGGGACTGAGTCCGTGCACTCCATGGAGATAGGGAACTGGACAGAGGAGAGATTGGATGTTTGGATTAAAGAGACGCAAGGAGAAAGCCATCAACCCTTACAATATCCTTTCTTTGTAACCTTTTCTCCAAACTCTTACAGTACAAAAGCTTTTAGCAAAGATTAATGACACACACACGTGGACAAAATGTAAAGTGCCTTCTCAAGGTTGGAAGTAAGTTTCTCTCTCTCACACACACACACACACACACACACACACACACAGGTCTGACCAGTGAGACAGTCTTGGTGGCCAGGTCCAGCACTTTGACTTGGTGGTTGTTGGTATCAGCCACGTAGAGAAGCTTGCCGCTGTCGCCAACACAGATTCCTCCAGGTTCATTGAAGCAGGATTCGTTAAATTCAGGGCGCAGAGATTCTCCGGCCTCTCCATTCCCTGCTAATGTGCTACACTGCTTTGTCTTTGGATCCACCACTTTGATCTGAACATAATCACAATTGGACAAAAATCAAAACCAGAATTACTAGGTCTAGGTCCTTCGTGTTCCCTATATGGTTGTAGATCAAAAGGAGATACACACTTTGTATCCACTCAACAACCAACTCACAGAACCCATTACAGAGACAGAAGTATCAAGTGAGAGCATACTACAGCTTTGAACTACAGCCATGTGACATGCAACAGTTACCTTGTGGTTGTAGGAGTCGGCCACATAGAGCAGACTTTGTTCAGGAGCCCAGGCAACACCAAGAGGATGCTGCAGTTTGGCGCCAACCCCTTTCTCGTCTACATCCCCGAAAGCAAATAGGTTCTGTTTCAAAGAAAAAGACACGTTCAGAAAAGATCAATTGAAGATAAAAAAAACGTAAAAATGCCCAAACTGCAACTTGTGACACCTATGTCTAACCCTCAAGTTCATGTAGAAAAGAGGAAAGGGAGGCGTTTTAACCATTGAGACTTTCTTCAGAAAATGCAAACTGAAGCCTTTCCCAGGTTATGTAAATGATTAGTTTTCGTTTGGAGAACACTCGGAGAACAGTAACATAAGAATTAATATGCCACATTTGAAAGAAACACCAGAAAGATGACAATGTCTTTAAATTGCATTAGTTACTGTGCCAAAAATAGTTAGAGAAGTCATCCTTGAGAAGTTTCTGAGAAGTTTTGAAGAAAAGTACAACAACATTAATGATAAATATCATTAAAACACTACAACAAAGTGGAACATTTGTTTATTAATTATGTCGAAGAAATTGTTTTAAAAAGACAATTCTTCATAGTTTTTCTCTTAGTGACAAAAAGCATATTAAGTAATAAAAGCACTTAGTGCTACAGATTTTTCCAGACCAACATGACCCCAAGCAGATACATTACTATGACACCCTATCAAGAGCCAATTTCTGAGAAATTGAAGAAAATTTAAATAAATAGCTTTTCATTCTGTATCACTCAGCTCAATAAACAAAGAAAACGAGATAACAATCTCATAAAAAAGTCTCATGATTCTCTACAGCTCACTGACTCTCCACAGCTGCCGGAGTTCACTCAACAATGCCGGCTGAAAAAGAAAATCCAATCTTTGGGAAAATGTGTTATTACACAAGCAGAGTCATTCCAAACGCCGGTGGGTTCGCTTGTGCTCAAATGATCATCTACACCGCAGGAGTGTGACCTCTGTTTCAGATTGTGATGCAGCTGTTAGTAGAAATGATTTTTGCAGTGTGAAGGAAGTACTCAAACTAAGGCTAAAGAATGGTGAGAAAAAGCATGCGGAGGAAGTACTGAACACATTGTCCATACACACATACCTGTTCCTGTTCCTTTGAAAAATACAGGCATTTTAAAAGTTTAAGCTTCAACACAAAAAAAATGGGAACCCCGGTAAAATCACTTCATATTTAGTGTACAATTTTGATTGTGGTATCAATATTCTCATCCAATTATTATGAGAAAGTGAACAAGTGTATTTCCCCAAATTGTCCAAGTATTCCTTTAAATACTTAAAACACTGTACTGTACAGTGGATAAAGCTTATCTGACTATAACAATTCATGATCCCTGGTCTTTGCTACAACACTGTCAGCAAATGAAATAATTAAATTCCCAAGCATTCCAGAAAACTCAAAATGAAGAGGTTGTTTGGAACAGAGGTTTTGACAAAGAAGAGGACTCAAGAAGATTTACAACAGCTCAGAAAGAGACCAAACAAATTCAAGTAACTGGGGAATGATTAAGTATTGGCCAGACACAACATATACTAATGCAAATGCACTGACAATTAAAGTACAAAAATGACCTCAGATGCACATTTACTTGTAACAGCTTTAAACCTGTTTTATATTTCATTGTCTTAGCTTAAATGTATATGGGCAGCAGTCTATATATAAATGCTTTTTGCTGACTCACTACTATGTTGTTTATGACTCTTCAGTTAATTACTCCCCTTTCTTATGGGTGACTACAAGCTTTCGAGCTCTTGGGACTTTCCAAAAATATACCAGTGTGGCAGGAAAAAAAACTTACTACTACAGCATAACGGCTGCGAGGACATGAAAGTACTACCAGAAATTGGTTTCGGTCTTTGCTTCAGCAACAAACAACAGAGGCTGTGTTTATTTGTGGCTTTTTTTTAAAAATCAATACTTTCTATCTATAGAGAAACAATCCTGAAACCGTGTGATTTCCTAGGAGTTATCCAAAGCATTTTTCTTCAGAATTGTCCTAAGTATTTTCTATGGCGGGAAATGTGGTAGATTAATGTGCAGGTTTTACAGTGTGTTTGCTGTTGATGTATGGTGCCAGAGCCAGGCACAGGACATATTATCATTGAAGGTACTGCACAAGAGGTTTTTTGCTTACTGCAGACAGCTTTGGGAGTGGACTTTAAATTTCCTCTACTTTCTTTTCAAGGTGCTGCTCACTGCACTGTCTAATTATATTATTGCACTGGACTGCACTATTATTAGATAAGAAATTCTCCTTTTACAGAAAGATTACAATGGACAAAAAAAACCCTAACCATGTATGAAGTAATTTATGGACTTTAAATTAACCAAAGACGGAAACTTCATTAAAGCATGTTCTCTGTGGCTGGTTTGTTTAAAATTAATTTGTCATAAACCACCCAACCAGCATAATGATAAATGTAATAACTAAATAAATTAAAAGGTACATAGTAGAAGAAAGAAAAAGTAGGAAATAATGTTAAAAGGCCTGTCCACCATTTAATCATCCATCCATCACCAGTTGCACACCCACCATTGGGTCTCTCTCTCCCCCGACCAGCGACTTGACGGCTCCGTCCTTCAGCCCCAGCATGCGGATGGTGCTGCTTTCACTATCTGCCACATACAGGCAGCTCCAGGGCTCCTCGGGGGCTAAAGCCAGGCCTGAAGGCTGTGCAAAGCCTGCCTTGTGGGGGTAGGCGTTGTTTCGGTTCTCCTCACTGCCACTGCCAGCCCATCGCACGCACATGCCTGCCTTGGACTCACTGTCAACAGTTCAAATAAAGCAGGGAATCACACTATTTGTTTATTACAGACAAGGCTTCTTTGATGATGCTAAACTTTGATTATTTCTCGTGATGACATTACATAATTTTTGTCACTGATTTCCGGTGATAAAACAAGTCATGTAGGGTAGTAGGCAGATTTTTCATTTGCTTTTAATTCATTTTATTCTTAGAACTGAGTTATTATAGCGCCTTTAAAGGGTGGCTGCTGCCAAGTGGCCATGCACTAGTCTCTCACCTTCCTTTGGGCAGTTTCCCATCTGCTAGGAACAAAGCCCAGATCTGGTGGGTCCCTGCCATGGCTATCCACAATACGTTATCTTCAACACCGCCTACACATGCAAATGAAACGCACATACATACACACATACAAAATACATAGTCTTTGAGTTGAGAAGCAGGAAACTTGTCATGTGACTGCTTTCGACTGTCTAGCAGTCATCCAGCAGTGGTGCTAATGTTTGTCCTAAAGGAGAAAGCTCTTTTCCAATGCGTTTGTGAAGTTTACTTTGAGCTACGAAAAAATTGGATCTTCTTATAAATAAACGGCTAATTAATGAAATATACCCATTATTTTAGACAGTTAGATATTTCATTTACTAATTTTTAGCTGACACTTTTATCCAAAGCGACTTACATGTCAGAGGTCACACGCCTCTGGAGCAACTAGGGGTTAAGTGTCTTGCTCAGGGACACAATGGTAGATGGGTCACAGTGGGGGATTGAACCCGTGTCTCTCACACCAAAGGGATGTGTCTTATCTAATGCGCCATCACCACCCCCAAACAAATAAACATCTCTACTGATCTAATAATTTAAAAAGCTGTGACTGTTTGGAGGGTCAGAAATGCAGCTATGCAGTTTTAAGTGATGGCAGCCTGTTTGACAAAGACCATATGCCCCCCTCAGATGCACTCAGCAGAGACAATACTTCATGATGATGGATACACATACAGTGCCTCAGTTGTATTTTTAATGCAGCACACAGCTCACCCCTCCTTCATCACATCTGGTGGACTGTCAGGGACATTTGACAACTGCACCATGTGACTTTACAGTTCAAGAGATGTACTGTCCTTTTGATTTGGTCAATTTAATTATTCATACATGCGGAATAAATCATGAATATGCAGGAAGTGTTTGGATGCTCTTTCAGAGGACATTGTTATTGGAGTTAAAGGTCTGATGCCACATCCTCAGACCATGTGGGGATGTGAAAACCAGCATGTTGTGTCACCCATCAACCTGCGCAGAAAATGTGACTAAGACTGATTAACTCTTAGAAGCTGTATGCAATGGCCAAAATAACGGCCCTAAAATTTCTAGAATTAGTTGTTTAAATTCATATTACTATGGTTAACCATTCAATCACCACACCTCTAAAATGTAAACTGACTGCATCACACACAGGGAGAATAAACAACTCTGTCCAGGCGTAAACTTTCCTCTTTTGTTTGATTTAAGTAAGCACACAATGGCAGGGGCTTACATTTTACTTTACATTCTACTTTACTTACTACACCACATGCTTGAAGAAGCGCTTATAGTAAACAGTGTTGACCTGAGGCAAGAAAAACAGATGACATAATAATCTAAAGTAAATGTTTGTTTGAAATCCTTTATCATTTTAAATACTATATTTTGACATAGTTAAGCAAATAAACAACTTAAGGGCTTGTATTGCATTCCTAAAGTCAGGAATGCAAAGAAATAAATACACATTTTGATAAAATATTCAACTTAAAATGTCTTGATGACCAAAATATAAAGGAGGCTAAAGCAGGACATAATAACCTCGTATTTAACATTTAAAAATGATTCCAGCCTTTCAAAGAAGATGATTCAAAAGTTGAGTTAAAAAAAGCTTTCTGCTTTGATAAAAAAGGCACCATGTGGCAAATAATTAAAAAAAATTAAGAATAGAGAAAATCTGAATGCCCAAGGCAAAATAATTAAAGCAGAGCTTTTAGAGGGATTGAACTTTGAAGCGGAAGTCTTAGATTACTTTGTGAGAATATAAACAACTTTGTCAGGTAGTTTACAGAAGTTTGTGACTCACGTAGGTTCAACTTATTATTGATTGTTGTTCTCAAAATGTTTCAGCAGAACTACAAATGTGGATTTTGGCAAGGAGCTTAATTGTGTGTCCCCCACGAATTAGATCCTACAAAAGAGTATCTTCCTATATCTTAATTAGCCCATTCAATTTTCGACCCACCTCTGAGGACCCCCAAATATTATGTGCGATTTGTTTGCTATCAGGTTCATGAGTTAATACTACAATAATAATAGCACTTGATCCAACTTTGTGCGGTAAAACAATTATGAAGGACTGAATGACTTTTTATTGCTCTGTTTCTGCAATTATGTGTAAAGCGTCCTTGGGTCTCGTGAAAGGCGCTATATAAATAAATAAATAAATAAATAAATAAATAAATAAATAAATATGTATATATAAAATAATATTTTGTGTGTTTACAATGCAATTTTGTTTTATTCAAGAAAATCTTCAATGTAAAGATTTGTTTATGTTTTTGGTGCACTCTCACATAGCATAGCGGGAGCTAAAAACCAGGGGTCAGCAGTTTGGACGTATATTACACTTGCTACGCCAACAAGTTCTAATGCTAAACAATCCCTTCCAAGGTGTGATCACACCGGAATTCTCACCCCAGTCGTTTTAAAGGGGATGAGATGCATACACTTCAATTTTGTTCACCTCCACCTCAACCTGATAATGTCCAGCCAGACCTCCGTCAATAAAACGTGGTAAATATTGACCTTCAAGTTCCAGCTTGACCACAAGACTCACCCACAGTGCCAAGAGTCACATCCCAAGGAGAGCTGATAGGCTGCTGAGGGCCCATGGCCCCGCCCACTCTGTCTGTACCTTGAGCACCTACTCCGGCTAGAGTGCTGACTCTTCCCTCTAACAGGTCAATCTGAAAAAACACAGACGGCAGTAAATGTACAGATAGACATCAAGAGACATAACATTTTATTTTAAAAGCTGCTATTTTTAGAAGATAGTTTTGGCCTGCTACCTTTCGGATCAGGTGGTTTTGTGTGTCGGCCACGTACACCGTGTCCCCTTTAATGGCCACACCTTGAGGGGAGTTAAAGGAAGCTTCGGACAAGTCACCATCTTGTCTCCCGCTTTCAGGTCCTGGGACAGAAGTGATGAAAATTATGCTTCCCTGCGGGCTACAATACCACACTTACACGACATATTAAGCCCAGAAGTTTAATCCTCTTTTCCCCCCATACTAAATGCACCAATGCTCTTTACCCGACTCTTCTGCCAAGATGAAAGGAGTGAGACATGTGCACAACATGGAAACATGTTAACAAAAGAGTTGGATTTAGGCATTTTTATCTTCCCTGCCAAAACATTCAGCAGGAGGGGGAGAAAAAGATTTTATGAAAAGATGATTCCTAATTAGGTGGAGATGTACAGTACTTGGCTGAAACACAGGTGGCCTTTAATTTCTTGAATGGATTAATTATTTAAATTTGTGACTGTGGTCTATTTAATCTTATGTGCTTACACTGCACGTAACACATTTGATCAGGAAGGTGTGATCTACTTCAAACACAATACACAACCTTCTGGACCACCGCTCACTGTTAGTCCATACAGACAGAACAAGAATTTGTCCAAAATACCATATGTAAGATTTGTTTGGCAATCTTAAATTGCTGAAAAATAATAAAAATCTACAAATACAAATAATGCTGCATTTTTGGTCTGTGCCTCTCTCATTTTGCCTGCTCCAAGGTCAGTGCCAGTTCTCAGTGTGTAGTAGTCCCTGCTGTTGCCAACCTATCTGTTGGTCTGGGGACAGACTACCATGTGGCTCCTCTGAGGGCTTTTGAGGCATATTAGTAATCTAAAAATATCTGTAATTCTCAAATATTGTTGTTTAATTGGTACAGACTGTAATTATTACAAAGCAAAAAAGATGTTTGTCCACAACTCATTTATTTCATCAAATACCAACTCAGAAATTCTGCTAATTAAATCTAGCAGCACGAAAATGATACTAGGGACACCTTGAGGTCCAACCAAACCCACCCAGACATCTATGCAATTTTACCACCTTTCTGACTTCTTACCTCCTATGACATGTAACAGCTGCCCAGTCTTGGACACCACCAGAATTCGGTGATGCCCAGTGTCTGCGATGGCCAGTCTTTTCTTGCTGTTGTCTATGGCCACCTTACCAGGAAAAGACAGGGCGCTGGGTGGCAGGGAGTCTCGGTACAGCTTGATCCCCACCGTGTGCGTCTTCAGAAGACCCTGCTCCCCATAGTAACGTAGGGCGCTGTCCGTAAAAAGCATCAGCCTGTCGCGGTGGCCTTCACCCACCAGCGAGAAGAGCAGGTTGCCACGTGGGCCCAATAAGACCAGCGTGGGCCAGCAGGACACCTCCAGTTCATGCCAGAGGCGTGCCTCACTGTCATTCACCACTGGATGGCGGATGTCATAGCGGAGCACAGCGCTGCAAACGTTGTCCACAACCTTTGAAGGGTTGGTGACAAACAATTGAGTAAAGAGCTGTGAATCTGCTGCCAAATGCGAGAGCTATTCTTTAATATATTTTATTTAATAAATTGTTATTGATTGATAAATTGAATTAATTTCTCAATTATTCAATGAATAGTTTTGTTTTTATGTATGAAAAAAGTTTCCAAGAACGCAAGGTGACATCTTCAAAATGCTTGTTTGACCTAATCTCTTATCTCTACCTACCTCTCTTATATGAAAAGAAATGCATCAAAACATCACAAACTAGAAGCTGGAACCAAGCAATGTCTTACATGCTTGCTTATAAATAACTGACAGGATTAACAGATTATAATTGTAGTACTTGCCTGTCCTTAGGAAGGACTGTCTTGCGTAATACTCATTTAACAGTGTCGTCCAAATTATATATACTGTATTTGTTGATACTTTGCAGTTATAAAAATGCAGAAAGAAAGCACAAACAAACCAGCCTACCCAAAGCTAAAAATGATGATGAACAATGAAATCACTTACCTTTTCATTGGGGAATTTAGCCGAGTGTACACCAACAACAACCAATCCATCTGAGAGCGAGATTAAACAGAGAGAGACACAAAGATCAAATATTAAACAGCCAAACATAACAGTACAGTAAGTGTAGTATGACTTAACTGTGCTCGCAGTCAAAACTAGCCGTTTCAGGACATATTTATGCTTTTGAGCTTTGCTCCATCACAAAAAAGCTAAATATGAATATGAAACAGAGTGTCAGAGTAACTGGAAGATTCATTAATGGTTGGAGCTCATGTACGTTTAATAATCCCAAGAAAACCTTTTCTCTAGACCAGTGTGTCAACAAATTAACATAAGCCCGATCAATAACAAGTTCATAAAGACACAAACATCACACGTTAAAAGACAATTGGGCGGAAAAAGGGAAACCGATGCGATTTTCAAACGACAACTCCAAGGGTGTTGTTTTGTTATCATGTCGGTGACCCTGCAGGACAATATAATGTCTCAGTGAGGTTCCAGGAAATGTTTTACTGCCACGAGGCAGTAAAAGTTTATCTCAGTCATTTCTCAGTAGTCATCAAAGACTAGTAACACTATGCTAGTTACATAAACAATGAGAGCAATTTGTGACTTTCAACAAGGCCAGCGGATGTTCAAATGTTATGCAACAGAATGGCCTAAAACTGTGGAAAATACATGTTTGTGAAGCTCTTCTGAACAGACTCTTTTGTGGTACTAAAGTTTGTCCAGAAGTGGCCTTGCATGGGAGATATCTTGATAAGTTTCCTTCCTGTTCCCTCACCTACTCTCTATTGAAACATGTCACGTTTGTGCTCGTATCATTCCTTCGACAATACTGTATGTAAACAGAACCACCACAACAACTCACATCACTGAGCCGCCCCGAGCAGACATAAAAAAAACCCCACACAATTCCAATCCCTCAAACTCACTATCTGCAGTGGATTTCGTCATCCGTGGCCTCTGCCAAGCAGTGTAGTACCAGCACAGATTGCAGTGACAATGGGTGGGTGGGGGGATGGACTGTGGGAGTGACTGGACAGGGTGTCTCCCACACCTCACTGACCAGAGCAGCAAACAGAATGTACTCATAGCACTGCCAAAGATAAGGCAAGTGCGATAATATGTGGTGGCACCACTGCAGTATGTGTGTTCTGCCTAGTTCTCAACTCAATTTCAAGCTTCCTAAGATGATCCCTTGAAGGGCAATCAGGATGCCAGAGTCAGTCGGATGTGACTATGCTATACAAGGACTGGCTATATAAAGAGCCATACAGTGAAGTGCAGCAGTTCACAATTATGGGCCCCATACTCACTGACACTGCAGCTTGGAATTATTTTTAGTTACTGTCTCTTCACAGTGGAGATAAGGGCCCTCATGTACTTTGAAAAAAAGAGGGGAGAAGTAGAGTGGATGTCCTACAGTATCTCTGCCCCAGTGAATTTACACATTCTCCCGTGATGCATCACGACACATAATTTGGTAACTGTGTTCCCCCAAGTAAGGTGTGCCAGGCTGCTGCCTCCTGCGAGGCCCACAGTACCTAAAGTCTGACTTTAAGGAATAGATAAAGAAATGCTGCTTTTAAGTATTTCATTTTTAATGATTTGGCAAGGGACAAATGTCACTTAACTGAAACTTGTACTATTAATCACCATTTTGTCTCGCCTACCTTATGTACTTTACTTTACATTCCACCCATTCAGCGTGCAGAGCAAATGAAATGTTAGACTGAATTGGCCCACAGCAAACTATAGCCATGATTTAACAAGCACTGGACAGGAACTAATCATTATTTTGTTTACAGACACTGGGCACAGTTTTACTATGAGTTGTGAAAGTAGGGCTGGGCAACAATAATGTTAATAATCGTGACATTATTTTCCTCAACAACAATATAACAAATGTTCAATAAATGTTCAGTGAATGTTTTGATTTAATTTATTTGAACCACAAACAAATCAACACTTAATTTTTCTGTTAAGATATGTATTTTGTTGAGGAAAAGGGACTGAAAAAAATACTTTACTTAATTTAACTCACATGATGTCCGTAATAACATTCATTCCTATGTGAAAAATGTTTTAGCTTATAAGGCTAGCAATATTCAATATTTTTCTTATGATAACACATCCCATTACATTCCAAAATGGACTGCCTTTGCAGTGAAAGTCTAATATAAGATTTTTCCTCCATTGTTCTCCAAAAACTATTAAAAGAGTAATCCACTGACTTAGCATTGCACTTCTGTAACATTATTCTTGGACTCATAATGGACAGTTAAAAAGATAAAGATTGATACTGCCGAATAATCTATTTCCACACATTATTCTTCCTTGCCAAAACCTATTCCTGTCACGGATTTGTGTGTGGTGAAGCAGGTAGTAGGTTGGAGGACCCAAATGCAGGACACGAAAGCCAGCAGGAACAGTTCAGAAGGGTTTTAATACAACAAAAGGCGAGCACACTTACAGAGTGGCTGATTTACTGAGTCCAAAAACAAAGGCTGTCCAACAGAAATCCAAAAGGGTGAAAACCAGAATCCAAAAATAAGCAGGGTAACAGGGAGACACGGTGAGTAAGGCTGAAGACACGAGAACAAACTGTACCACTGGGTAACAATAAACAATGACCCGACAAAGACAAGACAGAAACACCAGGGACTAACAAGCAGGGCTAGGGTTACTAGACGACAGACAAGACAGACCCCCAAAACCCATCAGACCAAAATAACGCTAACTAAACACAAAAGTGCAAAACATGGCATGGCAGACAGGCAGAGTGTGACAGTTGCATACATTACCCACAATGCAGCTCGACTGCCGACAATTCAAATGGAAATTCTGGTGTGTTATGCCAGCAGTGGCCAATGTAGCCTCAAGCAGAGATGAGGAGATGGCTCACTTCTTCACTCCGCACCTCCAGAGTTTTCAGCCCCAACGGACATTGACTCAAGTGACATTTATTGAGGCAATTTAGCAAATTTTGTGTAGCTCCCTTTGAAGCCTAAAAAGGCTTCATACAACTGTTTTCAAACAAGCTGATGTATAAAATTAAATAACAAAAACGTTCCCCTTTAAAAACACATCAATAAGACATACTGTTCCACTGATCGACATGTTCCTGCATTACCGTGAATATGTACAGTCTAGCATATTTTGAGTCAATCCCACATATCTGTCTTGATGTTGTAAATATTCACTATAGTGTTAAACGTGTATTAATCTGCAGCAAAAAATGGTCCCCAACAAATACACAATTTACCCATGTATGTATAACATTTGCTCAAATCTACAGGGCCCAGCTGTTATCTTATGAAGTTACTGAGTCTTTAAAGAAAATGTGCTTGAGTGTCGTAGACAGGATAGGGATGGACGGGAAAATGCTTCGTTGGTTTTGTTCTTCTCATTGAATTTGTTGAGAATAAAGAGAAAAAATACGACTGTCAGCCTTATCTTTTAATTTCAATCTGCCAATGACTGTCATAGATACAAGCCAGTCCACTAACTGACCGGCATAGTGTGCTTGATAAGAAGAATTATACACCCATTTGACAATTAAATTTTACCGTGTTGGATTTTAATATAGCCGTCAGGTGAAGTTTCTTGAAAAATGTGCACAACGGAGCGTGTGAGAAACCAAACCCAAATAAACAGAGGACACACATCCTGAACAAGCGTTTCACAACAGACTTCACATGAATATCAAATCATTGCTCCTTATCATAATTTAACTTATTCATTCATTGACACATCCTTCATTATGGGCTTAATTGTGTTGGTGGGAGGGTGATCAGAAGTCTACTTAGGGAGCACACTATGGGGAGATTGTCCTATTTTCCCCATACTCATTTGGGATCAAGACAGCCATGTTGACTCCTGCTTTAAAGCTAATGTAAGTCAATACCTTTGACAGAGTGCTTCTTCTCCAACTGGTGCAGGTCAGGGAGGATGTGCATGCAGTTGATGCAGCAGTAGGTGAAGAAGTCCAGCAGCACCACTTTACCAGCCAGCTCCTTGTTCAAAGACAGAGGCCCCTCCGTGTTCAGCCATTCCAAGCCTGGAGCAAATCAGAGTGGAAAATGATGCTGTCATCTTTGTAATTATGTTTAGTCACAGTCTACGCAAACACTTTACACTGCCCATCACTGTACGTGGTATATCTGTCTGCACCGATTCTATGTGTATGTCACTTGGGAATAAAAGTTGACAGATCAAAGCAATGACTTTGAACTGCTCACAGCTTCAGAAGTGTTATGAAGCTATTAAACGCCATGAATTAATTTCTGTAGATCTAGATTGTGTCTGATATGTTCACTCTTTCCTCACATGCACTCTAGATTGCTTCCGATAACGTTTGTCACGCTTAACTCATATGAGCTTGATTAATACATTTACTTTCATATTTTACAGTGTACTGAGCACCAAGCTCCAGCATGAAGCACTTGGAAATATTACTCTACCGTTAAACAGCATTCCTGTTATTTGTTCTGAATATTTTTACTGCCTTTTTACTTGTTTTACTTATTTTGCTGCAATCTTTGCTGAAAGATTCTTAATCTTGGTAGCACTTGACCTGGTTAAATAAAGGTTAGAGCATTTTTTTCAGCTTTAAGAATGATGCAAGCATAGTCCGGATAGGAGAAATAAGAAATATCCCTCCTGATTTCAAAGTCTCAACATTTACAGGTCTTTTTTTTTTGGTACGCAGAACAGTCCATGTACCATGTGCAAGTGCTTCACTCAGGTTTAATGTGTAAATAGGGTAATACTTGGCCAGATGATCTCAAAACCCCTTCCTTATTTGTGTGGCCTAAAACAAGGCTGGTATTCATTTAAGGTCTACCTGAAAAAGAGAGTATGGCACCAAGGAAAATTAATGTATTGTACATTTAAATGGTTATATATTGTTTATATTATAAATCTTAAAAGTCTCTTTGACTTTGCAAAAGGGAACTGGACACATTTAAGGAAAATCCTGAAATGAATGGGTCAAATATACAGTTATACTGATAAAAATGCAAATTATATGAACAACCATAATTTTGCAAGGGCATTGGATGCTTATTCTTTCTTTAAACTTCAGGGTGAGCAACGCCTTTGAGATAGATCCCCATCTACTGGAGTGATGAGATATTGCCAACATGCTGCATACCTGTACAATCACGTTCTTCTACTTGCCACCAAAAGCAATTGATTGTTTCTTACTTATTTGGCAACACTTTTCATTTCTCAATCATGAGCCAACATTATTCGTAGTATTTGGTGCAGTTACAGCAGATAAAAAAAAAAGACAACTGACATGTTTTTCTTATTCTTCAGCGGTCCTTGCTGACAGACAAACCACTCAGAAAGAAGGGGTCTGCCCTGTAAAAGGACATAAACAAAGACAGAAAAGAGCTAAATAACCAAATATTCTCTCTTGCTTTGAAATTGGGGCTGTCTGATTATGCCGTACTCACTGTTATAAAAGCAAAACTAAAGAAAGTATAACTTGGACAGAGGAAATATACGCCTGCTAAAAACAGTTGTGTGTAGAACGGATGGACTGTTTCAACAAAACACACCACAGGAAGCATTGCACTTAAAAAAACAACAAAAAAAAAACTACCGCATCGAAGTTTGTGTGAAGTTAGTCTTTGCTGCTACTTCTCTCTGACTGACTGTCTCATCTGCTGGTTTGGGGATAACGTTAGTTACCATAACGTTATCTAACTAATGTACCTAAAAGGCATGTGATACTGTGAGAAACACACACACGTCTTGTTGGCTTTTGAAAAGTATTTTAATTCCTCGAGAAGACAGCAACTCAACTCAAACTGTGAGTTAAAACAATCGCTATGGAGAGAGACACAGTGCAAAGCGAGCTAGAGCTCTAACAAGGTCTAACCTGTCTGGAAATCAGGTATCTTCAGGTCCTCTCTCTCGTCTAGTTTTTTCAAATACTGGTAGACAAGATTTTCTTTCTCTTGTTGTGTCGTAGTTTCTTCTAAGGCGCAATCTAGCTTGCTTTGGTAAGAAAATATTGTAGAGAGGCTGCACTGGGACGCCATTTTCTCCTGACAAGAAGCCAGTTCTGACTGGGCGGGGCCTCGATGGGGTTAACCAATAGCGAAGCGCGTTCGAGGACGCAGCACGTACAGAACAAGCCGGTTAGATAAACTCAACAGAGATTCATACCGCTGATTTCGACACAACAATAAAAAATATTATTCACCAGAAGTTTTTTTACCCTCCAGAATTTATGTTTAATTTCACTGAATAAATGATCAGTAAAGGTATTGTAAATTTCCCAGTCTTTAATTGAAGGATTGAGTAAATCAGTTCAGCAGAATCTGTGGAATGTGCTGCTTTGTTTCTCTAACTTGTCTTTACTACATATATTGCTGTACTGTGGCGGTAAACGCTAACATGTCTGTGAACCTTACAGTATGTAGCTGAAGAGGAAATTATGCTCCATTATTGCTAACTTACATATGGTTAATATTAATCATGGGAAGGTCTTCGCAGCGACAGTTATCCTCACAATATCAAAGACAGTTAGCGTTAGTTGTTAGTCTACTGTAACGTTTATTAGTTTTTGAGGACGTCGTTGGGCAACGTTAGGTACGTCTCCCTTTCTTTTCCTCCAAATGTCACAGAAGGAAGACTCCGAAAATGACATTTGGGAGTATAAACCTCTACAGAAGAAAAAGAAGAGACACGAATCGCAGCCTGCAACTGTGACTAAAAGAAGATGTCCTTCCAGAAAATCCTCCAAGAGAGACACGTCTCTCTCAGTCAAGTCACCTGACAGGAAAGTCAAGACAGCTGAAAATGGAGAATGTAGTACTGTTGTTATTAACATAGACGGACCTAATTGTTTGGAGGCACACAATCTACCATCACATTCATCTCCAACAAATCACACAGTGCAAACAGACTGTGCGGCTGCCAAGGGACCATCCTCTGGAGACTTTTGCCCCATGTGTCAGATGCCGTTTTCTATTTTGGTGGTACAGACTCAAAGATGGCATGTTGCTGAGTGTCTTGACACCCCCAGGGACACATGCAAAGGTACAGACATCCATACTGCAATACTAAATCTAAAAAATGATAAACTTGATACCAACTAAATAAAAGTTAATGTCAAGCAAATTTTCTTAGCCCAATTTTACAAATCCCAATTTGCCTCAAGGCTTTACAGTCTGCACCCTCTGTCCTTAGACCGATTTGGATATGGAAAAAACAATAAATAACAGCATTCACATCAGAAACCCCTCATCAAATTATCCAAATGTATGTATTTGTTGACCCATGGTCTGCTTTTAAACACCCGTTTTCCTGCATTCAGATGCACGCATGGTGACTGTCAATGGAGGAAATAATTCTTATTTTATACATTATACAGTAGATACCACGAATAAAACACATTGTTAGTTGTACTTTATAATAATTCTGTAACAAATGGGATGGATGGTAGAGATGGAAGAGATTCCCATGTTAACCACTGAGTGAGCGTTCATGTCATCTGAACTCAAGAAGGTTGTATAAATTCAGAGACGGTCATGCGAGGGTTAAAAATAATGTACATTGACAATAGAGCACTGTACTCATTAAACCTGGGTTTAATTACGGAGAAAGGTGGACTGGCTGATGTGAGGTGTCTGTATTTGTTTGCATTAGATCCTCTCTGACTAGTAAATGCTTTATCTTTCAAAGTCCACATCCCCAATTTGTAACACCTGCTTTTAAAGCCCAATTCAAGAAAACTTTGATCAGTGTTATTTTCTTTAGAAAGCTTCTGAAAGCCACAGCAGAGTTTGCACAATTCGCTGATTACTTTTCGTGACGAGTAAGCTGATGTGTAAAATCAGTGTTGTGCTCGTTAAAAAAAAAAAAAAAAGGCACTTTAAAGACTTTTGCAGATTTTGTATTCAGGTGCTTTGAACACTTACCATTTTGTACCCTGCTGATAAACCTAATTTCTTTGTGTTATATTTGTTCACACAGAGTGTCCAGAAGGCCTCCAGTGCTCCTCCATCATTCCAAACCATTACAAGAAATTCAACCATATGCTCCTGGCCCACAGTCGAGCAAACCGTGACACAGCCCTCCTGAGCTTGTCCCAACAGGCCGAAACCAGCGGCAAGGCCGGCTTTAGTTGTCTCCCAGGACTGATAAACAACGAGCTGGATAGCTCTATTTTAGAGACTTCACAGGATAGCGCTCTCAGTCTTTCAGTCTTATCCAGTCAGAGTGTCTCCCCTCACAAGAGTCACACTGGAACACCTTCTAAACTTACAAATGGCCTACTTTTACTGCGCTCACCTGGCCCAGAGGATTTTAAGAAAAAGAAAGGTTGGTCTTCCTTTACTAAAAGGCAAAAGTCTGTCAGTGCTTCCCAGGAAAGTAGAGCAGAGGTTTCATCCACTCCTGTCAAGGCAGAGAGTGAACAACAAGCTTGTGAAGGTTTACCCAAGAGTGAACCTTCCCTTGACAACAGCGACGCAATATCCTATTCTCCTCTTTCTGAGTTCCCTGCAGAGACTGAAATCAAAATTAGCGGATGTAGTAAAGCCCTTTTTAATAACGATGCATTTGAAAACAAGGCTGAAGACTCGGTGTTGCTGTTCAGTGACGGATTCTCAAGCGAAGACGAGCTCCTCACTGAATTTGTTAATCATTTGGAAACCAATAATGTGCAGGTAAACGAGCCTGATTCCTTAAACACCCAGCTGGAGTCAGTTACCTCGTTATCGCCCACCAGTCAGCTAGATGCTTCTACAGTTGCTGAAAATAGAGCTGATTCCACAGCTGAAAAAGAAGCTCGTAGTAGATCTACCAGTGCTGTCAGTCCATGTATGAGCAGTATTCAGTCTCCGCAAAGTATTGTTTTAGAGCACCTCAGAGAAACTCTAAGCTCAAATAGCCAGCATTTCAAAAATTCAAAAAACGCCTGCAGTAGTCAATCACAGCAACCTCACGCAACTTCTTCTCAAGTGCCTTCAACACAAACCCCTGTTGTCCAAAGATCTCACACCATGCCGCCTCAGAAGGGCAGCAGAAAGGCAGGTCAGGCCTCCTGTCTGAAGCAGACGGACATTGGGGTGTTTTTTGGCCTCAAACCCCTCAAGGAGAAGGAGAAAGAGGCTGAGTGTGGAGCAGATGAAGTCAGCACCACCTCTATTCCAACATTTGGTGAAAACTCAGGACCGAGGCGGCAAAGGAGAGACAGGAAGGACAGGCAAAGGAAAAGTAAGGCTGACACAAACGCGGACGGCTCACAGGGCACAGTGACTGACAGTAGTAACGTGGTGGATGCTTTGGGAGAAACAGGGAAAGGTAGGACCAGACGATGGAGAGGAAGAAGGTGGAACAGAGGGAACGCTGATGGAGAAGTAGTGTTACCACGTTGTCCCTTCTACAAGAAGATTCCAGGTCAGTGATTGACCTTGTGTCATATATGATTGCTGCATTGAATGTATAAGATGTGTGTGGGTGTGAGAATGAATGAATGAAGTAAGTACGTAGTTACTTACTTACAGGGGGTGTTTTTGTGTGTACAAATTTTACCCAGGCACAAAGTTTGTCATAGATGCCTTTCAGTACGGAGAGATTCAGGGAATCACTGCCTACTTCCTTACACATTTCCACTCAGACCACTACGGAGGGTTGACCAAGAATTCCACACTTTCAATCTACTGTAACAGAGTAAGTCAAGTTCATTTTACAGTCTCCTAATTCATACAAGAAAAGGAAGGGACGGTGTGCCAGGTTTGCTACTTCTGCAGCTTTGTGTAGTAAACAAATGGCTGTCCTCTTCCCAGGTGCTCTCTTGCACAGAATTCATAGCATAAATGCCTGATCCATTTGTTATCTTGCTGAATACCAATGTGTGAGTGGCTCTAACCGTGTTGGTGGCAATTTGAAGACCATTTTGGATTAAAACACTTAACATGCAAGACGTATAGTTTATCTGGGTCTCAGTTGGTCTTTTTGTCTAACCTTTTCACTGTGGAAATATTGCAAGCATGAAAGGTATTTGAATTAAGCTATAAATTGGATGAATTCAGGTATAGATGTATACATGTTTAATTCAAACTTTATATTGCCCTTTCAGATTAGACGCATGTTGCATTAGGTATTGTACATTTTCTACTTTATCTCAGTAGGATGTTTAAGAACATACCTATGAAACTAATTACAATAGCCCAATATAAATTGACTAGGAAAAAATATATTGGTGAAAGAGGATAGCTATTATGTAAATTCTCCTGTCAAATGGGTCATGGTTTATCACAGTGTAGTGTGTGTTCTCCTGGGATTACAACTAAAAACAGACTTGGACTGATTGGGACTCCATTGGGGGTTTTGTTTCTTTGGTAGGTCACTGAAATTCAACTTTGACGCTAGGTGGGTCACAGCCCAGAAAGTGAAATTAGATACGATTTTCAAGGGTTTTATGGGTGATTATACTCAATGAACAGCTCATCCATAAGAAGCTGAGATTATTTAAGTAGATTCATTATTTCCAAGGTAAATATGTTGTGATATTTACCTTTTTTAGCACTTCCTAGCTTTCGTGGCTGCCACTGCTGCATCACTGTATGTACGTAAACCATAAACACATGTGTTGGCTGACGGCTGCATCTCCTGGACAGATTACAGGGAACCTGGTGAAGAGCAAGCTGAAGGTGGCAGAGCAGTATGTCCACATCCTTCCCATGAACACCCGGGTCACTGTGGATGGAATCACAGTCATCCTCCTGGACGCCAATCAGTGAGTCGGTTTGTCTGGAGCGAGTGCTTCATCGTTAGAAAGGACCAGCCGCCAAAGGTGTGCTTGTTTTCAGCTGCTGGATGGCTTCTTAACAGGCTCTGCTGAAGAACACTCAAGGGAGTGGCACACACTAATAGCGGGACCATAAAAAAGCTCATTATTGTAAAAGTTTAAAACAAGCATTTTAAGCAAGGACACTGAGGCAGATTGAATTTCAGTCAAATGTCTGACACTAATTTCAAATTCAGACTGCCCCAAGCTAACTAACTAGATTGTTTTTTTTTCACTGAGGAATACCAATAGGTGTGTATTATGGAAA